GCTCGCCCTTGATGAACTCGCGCAGTCCATCCTCTTGCTCCTTGGTGATGACACGTCGCCCGTCGTCGAAGCTGGTGGCCTTGCCTCGCCCCTTCCCGTTGGTCTCGTACAACTCCTGCTTGTCATACCAGAGTGTGCGAACCGCCAGGACCTTGTCCGTACCGATCCTCAAGGTCTTCGCGACCTGATAAAGATGGGTCATCCACACAGAGGGAGGGTGGGAAAAAGTTTGTAAGAATACAGCAGTGTATTGCGTTGCAGTGTATTGCGTTGGTGTACGAAAGCCGGTGTTAAAGGGACTACGGAATGTAGACAACGTACAGCGCACGCGAGGAGAATGGTGGTGCCATGCACATACATTCCTTTCCATTCAGTGGTACAAAGCGCTGCTGTGACTGCTGTACTGATACATTGCTGTACAGCTGGCAGTATACCGTTATACATACCACTCAAGTATTGTATAGCAGTAATGGGCATCAGTACAGCAGCGCAAGCAATGCGACGATATGGGCCGGCAGCGGTACTGGCATGATGTCAAGCACTGTTGTTGTTGCTTGTACAAATATCTTGGGTGGGATGTATGTACATGCATCTATAGACTAAACATTTGTACCAAAAAAGTACATGGCACGGTACTGCTGTAAAAACGTAACAACGACACGCGTCTTCATACTGGTATTTGTACGCAACAGCCATGTTTCTTGGCTCTCACCTGCTCCTTTGCGTGGTTCTCAGAGCTGCCTCCTTTCACCAGGTCGAAGTACAGCATGAGAATAATCCGCGACTGCTGCAGGGTGGTGAGCTCGTCAGTCTTGGGCCTCAGTGATTGCACAGAGTCCTCGACAAACTTCAGCGCGAGAGGGGGAAGCTTATAAGTCGCAGCTTCAGCAGCCTTGTTGACACGATCCTGCTCTCGCCGTTCACACTGTTGTTGAAGCACGGCTGACCTCGCGATGTCCCGCGCGAGCTTCTCCCGATCCCTGGCCACTGACGCCTTCATGGCCTTCACGTCTTCTTCCTTGGCCACGAGAGCTGCTTCGGCAGAGGCGGTGGCCGCCTCTCTTCTCCATATCATCCAGGAGCTTGTTCATAGCCTTTGCATTTCTCGCGGCCGCAGCGTTGGCCCCCTTGATCGCTTTAGGTGGACGGCCACTGGTGCCGCCTGTCGGTACCCGTCTACCACGCTTGGTCATGGTGGGTGCTGGATTGGCCAGGTGCCTGCCGTGGACGGCGAGTTGCTCTGCAACGGCCGGCTCAAATTCAGTTTTTTTTTTTTGGCGTTGTACGCGCCATGTTGAGCAGTTTGCGTCAGGTTCTATTTTAGAACCTAATTTGTTTTTCCCGAACCGCAACAAGTATGCCCGCTTGAAAGTTGCTGCCATGAAGTGCCTCCTTTTGGCGCCGTTCACTTCGTGCTGTGACTGTTCGATGGGCATGAAACCAGCGCCATTCGGCAGCTGATGTAACAGGCTTTCTGTGGGACCCACCCAGTGTGTGTGTTGCTCAATTATTGCGTGCAAAAGTTGCAAAAGATTGTGTGTTTTTCTATCAACTTCGCGGGAGAGAGCAGTTTGACAGAATTTTTTTCTTTTTTAGACAACTGGAAGTGCCCAATTTGGTCTTGATTATTGTGTTCCACCGTAATACTGCTGGACCTCACACCATGTCTAACACAGATCAGACTCTCACGCAAATTTTTCGGGTTCTTGCCTCGCGCGGAACCTCTGTATTATACGAATGCAATTAAATGCTCTTTCTTAGACGATTAGCGCCAACGTCGCCTCCGAAAAGTGCGACGCGCTGAAAGAGGGAAAGTGCACGGAAACAGAAAATCGACAGAACCTCAACGTATGTCTAGTTAGCAAGTGCTTCATACGAATATACCTTAGCATTGTTGGTGAAATCCGGCTCCTTCCCTTCCACTTGCTTGTAGGCGCTCCGGAGGCAAACCCCAGTCTTGGGCGTCCAGTCCTTCTCCCACTCAGGCCGAACCGGGAAGTCGCCGCTGCTTTCAGGCAAGTCGCCTGTTATTTTTTTGGCGAAGATAGCATATGGTTGTTGGATTGACGACCAACGGACGGAGGAAATGAACAAACGCTGAAGGGGAAGAGGTGGGCACTACAGTTATGAGTCAGACGTAGACAAGACCATGTCCGCAGCAATAACATTCGACCCAACCATTCGACGCTTCAAAACATCAGACAAATATCTCTGGACAAACGGCTGAGCCCCAGACCCCCCCACGCCGTGCTCGACAACAAAATAAAACACAGTCGAGGTGTCGGTATAGTGCGGGTTCTCGCACTATTCGCGGTGCTCCAAAGCCTCAATAGTGCGTCTTCCCGCACTATTCGCCCTATAAACTAGATACCGTACTATAGGGGGTATGTGTAGCCATCAACAAGGCGAATGAAGGTGGCACAGCGGTATAGTGCACACAACAGGTGAGGGAATACATAAAATGGGGCGATATTGGATAGATGCCTGCGTTCGTTTGTGGGTGAGACTAGACGACAAGCATGAACTTGCGCTGCGCCGCGGTGGGAAAATATGCAACCACAATTATGCACCGTAAATTAGAGCAGAGGAGAGCATACTTGATTCATGACATGCAGTGTGTGCTCTGACTGCACATTGTGCCTCATGCGTGTTGTTGCTTGCTTATATTTGCGGTGATTCCCCCTGAATATTATTCAAATATTCAGAGGGAAACAGCTACACCAGCCAAGAGCCAGGGAATGCAATACGTCCGCACACGCGACCGAGGAGCACCTCTGAAAACCAGCTTGCCGAACCACTCCGAACTCCAAACTACACCCTTAACTGCGAAAAGCAAACGGGGGAACACAAATGAATCCAAAACGACACTGCTTCTCAGTTTCTTTAGCAAAACGTCCCGCAACAACACAGCACGAAAAAAACGGCGAAGGAAACGTGCAATAAATTGCGACCCACATTCCGCACGTGAACTGCATACACGTGTACACCCCAACATAAATTGCTTCCCACCCTACAAACAACAGTCAAATACAACACACACACGTGTTACATTTTCTACTCTACGAGAGGGGAGGGGAGGGGAGGGAAGGGAATTCCGAGCGGTTGACATTAACATATACCGTGCTGCTGTTATGCGGTAGGGGTAGGGTGTGTGGTGTATTTGTGCCGAGAATGTGCGTGTGTTTGGCCGCCCTCAGAGGAGGGTGACGTCAGGACCCGCACTGTAGAGGGTCTGGCGGAGACCAAACCCGCACTATAGAGGCACTACGCGAATAGTGCGGCACCCGCACTACTGAGAGGTCTAAGTCGTGTCAAGCAAAAACAATCGCACTATACCGACCCACCCGCACTATATAACCCGCACTATACCGGCACCTCGACTGCATATCATTCCTGACACGAATTGCGCGGCGGGGGGAACGGGTCCGCGGCCTCACACCTTCAACCGCGAGTTTGTAGCAATCCGAGTCAGGGTTGAAGTTGAAGTCCCCCGCGAACACAAGCGGATCAGGTCCCGCCAGCTTGGACAAGTGCCTTATGGCTAGCGACGTGTGCATGACCATCACCGGCCGGATGTTGAAAAGGCACGGCATATGGTACGTCCCCACGCAGAAGGTGCCCCCGTTGGGCAAGTCGGCCGAGCCCATCTTGGGGCGGAGTCGGGCGAACAGCACCTGGTTGAAACGCCTCTCCGCGATCTGCAGTCAGTTTTTGTCGGTGGAATAGTCCGGCGAGTAGCACGCGGGGAAAGTAATGTCGGTTCGCGAAACTAATGGATTATGTGATTTTGTGGCGTTGGCAAGTGGTTTAATGTCGCTGTGGTTGTTATCCTTGTTGATGGCGATCTATTTCCATATAGACGAGTGTCGAAAGTTAACAAACATCCCCTTCTGCATTCTTGTCCAAGAAACACGATTCTATGATGTGTGATGAGTGTTTTCGTGGGCTCGGGAATCGTTGCTTTGTGCACAGGTAGGTGTATGGACGCGCGACGGGGCATGGGCCGGCTACATATCGTACTAGCTGGAATCTGCTGACGTGTACTTCTGCCTTATCGCGATGGTGTTGTATTGTTGTGTGTACATGTACAGCACTAGGTACATGTACCCCAGAGCAGTCGGCGGTCTCGAGGAGCTGCAACCGCAAACGCTCGTGTGAAGTCGCATCACCAAGCTCAAGCTCAACCGAAGAGATGCGGCTGAGAGGTAGATGAAGATGTGCATGGACCGAGCAAGAGCAACACACAGAGAACAGAGAGATCCCAAATGCCTTCGCGGAAACCTTGTGTGACAGAACACAGAACAAGTACCGCACCGCACCATGGCACCACCAACAGAACCCCATCCCAGCTAAACACTGTTGGCTGCCTCGCACCCAAATATAGTACCTGCCACGGGTTCTCCGGTGCCCTCTCCCTCTCCGCCGCCGCCTTCCCGTTGCTGCTGCTGTTGCCATTGCTGTTGCCACTGCTGCCGCTGCCGCTGTCAGCCTCTCTCGGCCGTTTCACACCCCGCTCGGCCGAGTTCATGTTCATCAGAGCCCCCAGCCGACCCCAAACCGATTTAAGCACCGGCGAGGTCATCGCGGGCGGCGGACCAGCCACCGGGGTCGACGGGGGCTCCGCCGCTTGCTTGGCTTCCCTCTCTTCCCGATCCTGCCTAGGTTCCCTGCCCCACCTCCTAGTGTCGGACAACCGCGTAGTGTCCACGGTGAGGCACTCGTACTTGTCCAGGGGCCACGCCAGGGCCACGCCTGGTGGCGGGAAGAAGGGCGACGGGAGGGGGGGGCTACTCATGTATTGCATGCCTTAGCGGTTGGGCCGTTGACCACGCGTCCTCGAGAACGCGGAGCGTCGTCCCAGCAAGACGAATCACCGACGGCCATATCGTTCCTTCCTATTTCGCCAAAGACGGCCCGAAAATGTTTCGCTTAGCCTACACGTATCCTATCGATATCATTCCCCGCCTTTTTAGCCCAATTCCTGTGGCGGCGAGGGGGGATGGGGGGTTCTGGGGTCATGATTTAATCTTATCATTGTGGCATCTTCGTTGCTGTTTTCTAACCAATCTGTGATGGCG